TGAATAATGGCAAATATGTTCATCCTCTTCTTGTCTCGTCCTGATTTGTCTCCACCTGGAAAGGAGAAGGACTAGAAAGATTTAGATAAAATGATTACTGGATGGCAGTGCGCTAACTAGTTCCTACCCCAATGATCCTGGCCAATATTACTGGGTAAGACACTTTACTCTCACCATGCCTGTCTCAACCTAGGAGTATATTAGATGGATACTACAGGTCTGTTCCAGTCACCCACTAATTCTAGGAACAAGGCGGGGCAAGTTGATAAAGCTAGGGGTTGCCTGTGATGGTGGACTCCCTCCCAGGGGAGTCTGTAAATTTATCTTTGGGTGGGATGTGCCGCTGGGACACTGAAACCCTTACCCTATACTAGACCATGATCAGCTTGATTTGGCAGTCCTATTCTAGACTAGCTAGGCACCAAAAACCTACCCTATCCCAGACTAGCTATTTTTCATGCACAAACTTTATCACTATCTTTGTCCAACATACACTAACCAAACTAATATCGTACAAAGTCACTTCCTAAGTTTCAATTTCTTTTACAGCACCCCAGGTAAAGAACCCTGTTCTAGACTAAATTATTTATACACTGGCTACTTTCCTGGTAAATTATACCCTCTTCTAGACCAAAACTGTCTGATTTCTATACCCTATCCCCGACTAAACTGCCTGAAAACCATACCCTTTACAGCAGCACATATTCTAATATAGCTTATATATGGGAGTACCCCCACCCCACCAAACAGATTTATGACAAGTATTCAAGTCACACTATAACATGCNAACAACATATGAACACAAGAACATAAGAAGTTTTTATATGTACCTGGGTCCTGGATTGCAATAAAATCATCAATATCTTGAATAATGGTAAATATGTTCATCCTCTTCTTGTCTCGTCCTGATTTGTCTCCACCTGAAAAGGAGAAGGACTAGAAAGATTTAGATAAAATGATTACTGGATGGCAGTGTGCTAACTGGTTCCTACCCCAATGATCCTGACCAATATTACTGGGTAAGGCTCTTAACTCTCACAAGGCCTGTCTCAACCTAGGAGTATATTAAAAGGGTACTACAGGTCTGTTCCAGTCACCCACTAATTCTAGGAACAAGGTGGGGCAAGTTGATAAAACTGGGGGTTACCTGTGATGGTGGACCCCTGCCTGGGGGGGTCTACAAATTTATCTTTGGGTGGGGGTGTGCCGCTGGGACACTAAAACCCTTATCCTATACTAGACCGTGATCAGCTTGATTTTGCAACCCTATTCTAGACTAGCTAGGCACCAAAACCCCTACCCTATCCCAGACTAGCTATTTTTCATGCACAAACTTTATCACTATCTTCGTCCAACATACACTAACCAAACAAATATCTTACAAAGTCACTTCTAAGTTTCAATTTCTTTTACAGCACCCCAGGTAAAGAACCCTGTTCTAGACTAAATTATTTATACACTGACCACTTTCTTGGTAAATTATACCCTGTTCTAGACCAAAATGGTCTGATTTCTATACCCTACCCCAGACCAAACAACCTGAAAACCACACCCTTTACAGCAACACATATTCTAATATAGCTTATATATGGGAGTATCCACACCCCACCAAACAGATTTATGAAAAGTATTCAAGTCACACTATAACATGCTATAATTTTCCATCATTTCATTTCTCTAAAAATTTTATTGGTTCTACACTTTTTACAGTTAGCTTCAACATGAAACAGAAAGTGAGATTAAAACCCATCATTATGACAGGTTTTCCTCTCTCACTTGTTTCAACTGCTGCAATGGCTTTTTCATTTCAGTAGAATAAACAAGCCAGATAATTTCTGACACCAGGAAAGTAATAAACTGAGTGTACATGTATCATGGATTACATTTACTTGTAAAAAATTTTGGAGAATTTTAACTTCACAGAAGAAATTGTCCCAAAATAAAATTTTTTCACGTCTGAAATTTTAAGCGTCCAAAATAATTACAGTAAAGTAAAAAACTTTGAAGTAACTCGATCCAAAGCTCTTGGTTTCCTTTATGCTGGGCTTAATGGAGTGAACTCTAATTGAGACACTGCTTGACATACATAATGGCTTGAAAGAATTTGTGTTATTTTCTTGTCAGCGTATTCGTAAAACCTTGAGGCTGCAATGAAACTATCATTTTCACTGATAATTTGTGTTTTGTAGTCGTAAATTTACATTTAATTAGTGAAGTGTGCGAAAGTTGAAATGAGATAGAAAGTGTCCGAAAATTAAACATCCAAAATAAAATGTCAGAAATTTCAATGTCCAAAATTTTTAGCAAGTAATGTATTTGTTTGATGAAAACTTTTCCATACCAGGGCAACTGATAATACAGAACTCTTCCTTGCAAACTTCATAGTGTAGTACTTTAGATAATGGAAACTGGAATGAAATAAAAAGAAATTAAATATTAAAAAAATACAATTCAACTTAATTAGCACAAGTGGCTCTTGTACAGTCTAATGCTAGTGCAA